TTCCATGTAGTAAGCCATCAATTTTAAAACTAATTTCTATCTTAGGAATGTAAAGCAAAAAGTAACTCTTTTCTTTCTGTAGGACAAACAAACAAAAATACACTGATGTTTCTGAGAACCAGGTTCTCACTGACGAGTGTGCACTGGGGAAGTGTGAGGAAGAGCTGACACTAAGGGGCTCAATAACACTGTAATGTGGTATTTTAACTGGAAGTCATCGTCTTCTTCCAAGATATTTCCTAACTCTGCCCACAGAAAGGGTTTAGAAGCAGTGACATCCCAGAGTCAACCAGAACACTCTTTTACCCAGTTTTCCAAATATCATTCCCCACTAAAGGGACTTGAGCTTTTTGAGAAAATGGATGACTTCAGGGCTGGGGTAGGGAAGCATGAGTGAGCCCAGAACATATTGCTATGCCTGTGAGCAAGGAAGGACTTAACAGGAACATGTCAAAAGGACGCAGGAACTAACTTCAAGGGGCTCTCACTGGCCAAATTAGGGACAATCTGAGCATCAGAAAGGATAACGGTAATGAACTTGAGTACAGAAAAATTTTTTTAAAAATCTACAAGCTACAGTGATTCTCAAAAAGAGAGGGTAGAGAAGCTTCTCTTTCCAGAAGAATACCAGCCAATAAACACAGAAGGAATGACAGTCAGAAAATCACTGTTCTGCAATCAATGCATTCACTGATTCAGACAAGGATCTTCAATGGATGCTGTGAAAGGTTGCTGGAGAACAAAATATTCCCTTAAGATTATTTATTAATTTTGAAAGGGAAAGTGTACTTCACATTCAGGGCTTTCTGGTGCAGTGCAATGAGTAGGGCACAAATCACCCAGGTAGTACTCTTGCCAAAAATGTTTGACCTGATTCCAAACATGAAGAAATGATGAGACAAACCAGACTGTGGAACAAGACGACTGACCTGAACTCTTGAAAAATATCAACATATTTTGTCATGAAACACGAAGAAAAGGCAGGGGAAGAGGGCTGTTCTAGATTAAAAGAGACTAAAGAGTTATGACAACCAAATGTCGTGCATGATCTTCAATTAGATCCTGGTCTAAAGAAAAAAAATATCTATAAAGGACATTTGGATAATAAGCGGGGAAAGGAAACAATAACATATTATAAATAACATAAAATTAAAACAAAATAATAACAAAATTAATTTGAATATGTACTATATGTTAAGATATAATTATATAAATAATACAGAGTTATGACAACCAAATGTCGTGCATGATCTTCAATTAGATCCTGGTCTAAAGAAAAAAATATCTATAAAGGACATTTGGATAATAAGCGGGGAAAGGAAACAATAACATATTATAAATAACATAAAATTAAAACAAAATAATAACACAATTAATTTGAATATGTACTATATGTTAAGATATAATTATATAAATAATATTCTTTTATCAAAGTTAAATTCCTTGGTTATGATTAATATATTTTAGTAGTGTGGCATGAAAGAGATTTGCTTAGGAATTTGGGGGTAAAATGTCACAACGTTTGCAACTTACTTACAAGTGGTTCCACTTACTTGAGAGAGATAAAGGTGGCAAAATGCCAAAAAGCAAAATATAATATAATAGAACATCATACAAAATAATATAAGGAAAGATCAAGCTTTATTTAAAAAAAAAGATAAATTCAGTACCAAAGAATGAATTTTATTTAAGAAATAAGTTATGTAATAATTAACTTAAGCGGGAATAGCTGGGTGGGGCTCCTGAGAAAGCCATCTTAAAGGGAACAGATTGGGGGGAGTTGTCCTTTTTTTCTTTTTGCCTTTTGCCCTTCTCCATTCCTCTTCATTCTTCTTGGAAGGCAGACTCTATTGCTGGAGCTGGAATGAGGCAGCCATTGTGCAACCAAGAGGAAAAACTAAAGAAAGCTCCGTGAGCTCGAACCTGACATAAAAGAGCCACCAACTCCCAGCAGCAATCACCCACCCCAGCCTTCTCTTTGTGTGAGAAAAATAAACTCCTATGACAGAGATTTCCAAATGTTCTTAGTTCATGGCATGCTTAGTGTCTCAGTCACTTCTTCCACGGTGCCCCTGGGCCAAAAGAAACACCTAACAGTTGCATTTGAGTAGTGAGGTGTCAACAACTTAATGGCATGTATGTACTAACAACTTATTAACTGTTTGAAAAAATAATACACATAAATTAAAAGAAAAAGAGTATGAGGGGATTTCAAAAAATTCATGGAAAGATTTGTATTATCTTTAAATTCTATGTTTACATTACTCTTTATACATATATACATACATGCATACATATATGCATATCCACACACACATATGTATCTACATATCACACACATATACAAATATATCCTCTTAGCTCTGTTTCTCTGGAGAACCCCAACTAATACTCCCACAGAGCTGCATGTTCCTTCAGTGTTCTCAAGATAGATCCAAACTCCTTGGATCTATCATTTGATAGCTCTATCTATCTACTGGCATGTCATTCATGACCTTTCATCTGGCTTCTCCAACCTCCTCTCTTACCACAATCTCCATACCTCCCACCTGCGTGAACCAGGTGGAAGTTCATGAAATGCACCATGATTTCAGTGTGCTTTTCTCCCAACCAAAATAAATTCCAGACATCCCCCTCCATGCACACACACACACACACACACACACACAACACATACGTTGCATGACTGCAAGGCCAGCTCCTCACCCTTCAGGTGTGTGTCTGATATTCTACTCTCCTCCCAGATCCACCTACCCAGCACAAGCCGGGAGCCCCTCTCAAATAATGCCACATCACTTTGATTGGATTCCTATCAGAGCCCATACTGTGCTTTATTTTAACTGCTCATTTACGTGTATGAATTCTCCAACTCCTTAAGGGCAAGAACTATGTTTTATTGGCTATTTTATCTCCAAAACAGTGGCTCACCCATAATATATGCTCAATAATTTTTTAAAGTAAATTATCAGACAAAATTCAAACAGTCCCAGATCACCATTTTCCACCAGTTATTGGCTTAGTTTAGGAATGGTCAACCGAGATTGGAAAGGGACACATTCAGCCACTTCTGGCACCATCCAGACCATTGGTGGCATCCAAGGTGCAAGGCCAGCAGTGATAATAATACAGTATCCTCGACTCCTTATCCTTGCCCATGCATGCCCCAACCACATAGTTCCAGGACAGGCACTGCATGCTAGGAAGCTGAGCAAGAAGCCAGAAAGCCACAAAGGGGAAAATCAGGAAGCAGCACTATTTTTTCCATGCATTCCAAGGTGTACTGACCCTGAGAGTTCACTATGCCTTAAGCACCTGAAGCATTTTTTTAACCATGATTATAATTATAGCTACTTCTGGTCACCATCAAAATAATATTCCCAAACTCCTTACTGTCTGGTGACCCTGAAGTTACTCATTCTTTCTAAACCTTAGTACCCTTATCAGTTAAATAAACCATAGCATATAACTCAGGGCTATTGTGAGGAATAATCAAGACTACACATTGGAAAGCACTTAATACAGAGCCTGACGCATGCAAACTTATAATATAATAAATGCACGTTATTAATATTATCACCATTATTATTTTCAGTCAGGATTGCAAACATGGGTACACATAAAAGCAAGCTACAGTTCACTAGCCAAGCATGATCTGAAAGATTTTACTGGGCCTCAGCACTTGAAAATCCAAACCCCTGAATTTGACAGTAAGGAATTTAACTTGCCACTTGCCACCCCATGAACATAGCAACTCAGCAATGACAGAACTATTTTGGAGATAGCCCCCAGGGAAACTTTTTCTTATACTTATACTAGATATGAGTATTTACTTAAGAAATAAAACAACTCAAAACCAAACCTAAACCAAAAGTAAATAAATAAAGGAGAAAGAAAATAAAAAAGCTACATGTATGTACAGTGTTTTTTTTAATCTGTCCATTTATACCAACTGCTCTTTACACAGAAACTAAAACAAACAACTATTTGCTACTTGCCTAATATAAATCATTATTCACCTTAATTAACTGGGTGAGTGGCTATCAGAAGGCTGCTAGTAATTCTATTTGGTGTTGTAAGTGCTTTTAATATAAATATTTAAGACTAAATGATAAAAATGCCGTAAGGAATATATAACTGTGCTATTTTACATAACAAAGCTATATTTTACATAGGATACATGCTCTTTCTAGCCTAAGTACACACATCATCTGTGAATAATCTCATTAAGTCAACATCAATTTCTAGAGAGAGTAAGTCATTCAAATAATTTGTTATTTTCCAACAATTATTCTTTAATTTAAAATACACAGTCATTCAAACACTACTGAATTAAAAGCACATTATCTTTGCATTTCAAAGTAACCAGGTTTTTTAGTTCTCCACAAGCACAAAATACATCTTTTCATTATTCTCTTCTAGTTTGCTTCCCTCTTGTTACTAGCTGTATTAGCAAAATTATAGGTTTTGCTCTTAAAATAATTTTTCTTATCATTTGTACACACTGATTTCTCATTTTATTGGTTATTAAAATTTCTCCCTTTTTGAATCCCTTCTTTCCATACATCACCTTTCTTCTAGTATTGGCATCATGGCAGTTCTGACAACTATCTTGTCCACGGCCTGCAGAATCCAGCCCCCAGTGAGCCAGGGCAGAGCAACATGTGTCCAGAGGGCAGGATCTTGCTAAACCTGCTCCTGCCCTTCTGCCACCACCACCCACCCTATCTCCCTATTTCTGATCTTTCTATCTTACCTTCCGCTCCATTTCACAGTCCCATGAAGTGTCACATGCTCATGTCCAGCATTACCACTGTGGTCCCCTGGCTCACATACACATACTCACCCCCTTACTGAGCAAGCTATGTATCATTGGGAGACCATCAACTTTGACCCTGACATCAAATCATGTATTTTTCATATAGAATTTGCTGGCAGAGAAGGGACTATGGGGAGAAAAAAATAGTTTCCACTTTTAATAGATCCCAGAAATATAATCCTACCTTTCCCAGGATTTAGAGGAAAAGGGCTTCCAAACTCCTGCTGCTTTGGCTTTAAAGAGTGTGACCCTGACATGCTGCCAGCCTGGGTGACCTGGAATCGTGGCTTCCCATTGGTGAGCACTTGTCTCCTGGGGCTCAGGGCAGGCAGATGAATGGGGCTCTCAGCCATGCTGTTCTGAGGAGCTATCCCTCCTCCCGAGGGCATCTTGAGATGGAGACTGTTAACAAGGCTTCCAATAGCGGGACTTGGTGTGCTTCCACAGGACGAGGGGCCAGGAGTCCCCGAGTGGGCTCGGATGGGGGGGATGTGTTGGCCACCGACCATCCCAGGCCCCTGTGGGGTTCCCGATGTCCGGTGGAGACTCATGCTGCATGGCCTTCCATTCATTCTGTAAAACCTGTGGCCAGGATGGTCAAATATCCAGTGGCACTAATGACTCCTTTCAGGCAAAGTCCAATAAGTTATCCATGGTGTAGGTTCTAAGCCTGTTTAAAAAAATAAATGCAGGCATTTTTAAAAGTAAAAACAAAAATAAGGTACAGTGAGTTTTCAACCTGTGTAGCATTCATATCAGGAAGAAAGAAGCACCCTTAGCAAAATGGCCTTTTAGATAGAACAGGGACATCAAATACATGGCTCACTGGCAGGCACTCTGCTCTTCTGCATTCACGGAAGACATGGATTATGGATCACTGCACTGTTTTGTTTGCCACTTTACCCTTCTCGATACAGTGCTCTTGACAACTGCAACCAATCTACTGGGGCCAGCATGCAAAATGAAACTTATTTTGTTCTCTAGAGGATCTGTCCATAACAGTTCACTTTTGCTACAGTGGGTTTTGGGAAATCCAAAATCACCACCTTCATGAGCTGTGAGACCAATGCTTCAAAGTTTCCAGTAAACAAACACAAAGCAGACATGGCCTCTAAATAAGACTTTGAGGACATTAAAGCATCTCTAATTTTCACTCTAACAGCAATCTTTTCACAGTCCCTAGATTTACAAAAGATAAAAAACTAGGCCTAAGAATATTGCAAAGTTTTCATATATCCATATATAAAAATATTCACCGCAGCATTAGAGTCTTAGTTCCATATTGATCCTGAGTTATAGAGATGGAAACAGAATCAACACCACAATACTCTAACGTCCCATTAAGATCCTAGGAAAGGAAAAGGCTGTGCAGAACACCTTATGGAACGGAGAAGGAAAGAACAGCCCTTCTGAAGGTAAGGGGTCTAGTATGTTCACCATGCACGACATATGATAAATGGACCATACTGCTACAACTTCGTGCCACCAAGGAAGCAGAGGAAGAACCAAGAGAAGCACTGACATGACCACAGGACATAATCATCCACCCATACATAGTGATGTCAGTACTCCACAGTTCAAAGCATTTAAGAAGGCCCTTCCCTCCCTCCCTCCTGTGACCAATAGCTCTCCAAAATGTATGCAATGAGGTGGCTAAGGGCCATGGTAGTGCCACTACTCTAAATGTATGATAGACATGGTCACAACCTGTCCTTTATATGGACACGATAGTCATGGAAAGAAGCCAAAGCTGAACAAACACAGGAAATGAGGACTGAGTGCAAAGCAGCAGTGACCAGATATCCTTAATTGGATGATTCCTACTTCTTCTGTGTGATCCACTCAAGGTCTTGGACAAATATTTTCAACTCAACACCAAAAAGAATGACTCCATAAATCATCAAGGAAAGGATACCAAGCAGGGAAACCTTTTTGTGAAGAATTCTTTTTTTCTTTCATCATCTTAGAAGATCAAAAATATTTTATTTTAAAGTCAGGCACTCACTATGTCTTCTGCAAAATTTAGCTTGTGTGTCTATATTGAGGAACTTCAAAAATAATTAACAATATAAAATCTGCGATGTTTTCTTCATTTTTACCAATTCTCTGTTTCACTATTTTACTAAGAATTATTGTCAGTCTGTGACATTTAATACTGTGCTACCATCTAGTCCTAGGAAACACTCAACAGTATTTCTCTAATTCAGGTCTCACTCCTGCCACTATGGTCTCCATGAATGAACAAATAAGTCCAGGTTATCCAAATCCACATCATCTAAGTTTGTTTATACAACAATAATAAATAAATCCTGATATCACATTGGTTGTAAGATTTTTTTTTTTACACTAGAAAAGTTCCAGTGCTTTTCTGTTGTGTCCAGAACTCAAGTATGTCACCAGTCCAGTTTGTTGACTCATTCATTGGTTGATTGTGAGCAACAATTATTTAATGTCTATGCTTTGCCAGATAAAATTGGCCATCTATTCTCCACTCATTGATAAAATACTGTTTTCTGAGGACTCTTAACCCTGAAAAAGAAAGCACTTATTCAGTACCAACCAAAAAATAAAAAAGGCAAAAGAAATATGTCATATTGGCAATTTTTTGGAACTGAAGAATTGTCCAACATGACTGGAAATATGAGTCATTAAGACCATGGTCCAAGTGACAAGTGTCTGCAGATTTGCAGACTGTGCCCATTTCCAGGTTTTTTAAAATAAGGGAGTCATTTTTGGCAGCAAGATCATATACAAGCAGGAATTCTCATCAAAAATCTGGATAAATACACATAAGTAGGTACTTACCATTAGGCTTGATCATTAAGAAGGTGAGTTTGCAAGAAGGAAAAATAATTAAAGTGCTGAGAACTTAATTAAGTATCAGGCACTCACACCTGCATGTCTTGGACTGAATATTTATTTTATTTTTATTTTCTTATAAACTGCACTTCTGTTTTAAATAGCTTTTAGGTTGAAAGTAAAAACAACAACAAAATGTACTTAACTTTTATTACTAAAAAAGCAGCAGCCAGAAATTAAAGTCATTAATGCCATAAAGAAAAACCAATAGATCAATGGCATGTGAGCTGAGCAAAACCAGCCTCAGGACAAAAATAAAAGAAACTATTTGTGAAAAGAAGCCTAATATTTCCAGTTTTCACATTAGTTATGCCAACAGATTTTTCAAGCCTTCGATACCAGAATGCAAAAATCAATTTTGTCTACTCATAATATTTTTGTATACTTTTAGCTAGGTCATATGATCAAGATAGGAATCTAAGTCTACTTGGTAACAAAAAAGGAATAAACTGCTAACTTTTAAGAAAGACACATCCTCATAGAGTCAGAGTGAAAAGAGCATTCAAAAAGCCAAGACAACTGTTACTTCTGGCAAGTCATTTATAACTTCTCTGGACTTAACAGTTTTTCATCCATAGAAAGCTGCGGAGGTTGGCTATAGTCACTACGGTCTCTTGAAAATTTTTTATTCCAGATTACTTATATAAGAAAGATTACCCAAAATACTAATTTACTGTAATCAAAAATAAATACGTAAACATTATACCTTTGGCACTTAAAACCAGAGGGATTGGGTAGATACGAAAGCAAAGATAATAGCAACCTCTGCCAGCTCCATCAAAGCAAGAGGTGATAGGAAGGCTCACCCTCCAGCAACGTGCTGAAAAGCAACACTAATCATAAAAAAGGAATTTTAGGATTAAATTTACACTTTGCCAGAAAAGGTAAAATCATAACTAATCAGTATCGAAATCCTTTCTGAAAGGATTCCATCAGAAGAGCATTTTTTACTGAAAAACTTAATCAAATTCTCCAGCATTTTCTCCTCTGTCCTCCCTCCAATTACTCTACCCCAGGCTACTGAGAGCAACAACAAAAAAGAAATGAGAAAAAGAAAAAGAAAGGGGCATCCAAAAGTATAAATTTAGGGTATTTTGGATCTAACATACTGACATTTTTAGATTTTTAAAACTCCATTGGTTCACACACTGAAAATCATTCTGCTAATATGAGTCAACACGAAAGTTAATAAATCTTTCCTTTTGACCACTTTTGAAGTCTGAAAATACACTCCTGTAAATCAGGTCAGAGAGGAAATACTTAACCCCTAAGGAAACTAAGGCATGAAACTATTTAATAATTCCACTAGTTTTTTGGAAAAGCATGCCTTTAATCAAAATATAAAATCATGACTCTACCTTCTACCCAAGGCTCCAGGCCCTGTTCCTCATGGATTAAAAGATTAAACAAATGAAAAGCAATGTTAACTCATCCATACAAGAAAATCTCAAAAACACAACTTCCATAATGCCTATTTACAGCCAAAGGCCCTTTCTTAGTAAATATCATTAATAGACTCATCTAGAGTCATAATTCATCTGATGAGCCAGTTAATTATTAATTTTCATACATCATTTCATTTCCTTAGGCTACATTTAGTCTTTGTACATTTTCCATTCCTTATGCCGCAAGCACTTCTTACCCTGCATAGAAAACCTGATAATGAGGCACAAAATTACTGGTCAGCAAACAAATTGCTCCTGAGAGTGCTTCTTATATATATGTCTAAGCCATCTAAAATAGAGTTTTTATTGATTCTTTTTATTTTTTCCTTTTGGGTTAATGATTGCATAATTTCATTAACACTGCCTTTCCAACGTTGCTGCCTTAATCGTTAATAGGCCTATGCTATTCCCATGGGTTTCTCTTGTTACAGCTTTTGTAGCCAGAAGAATATAGAAATGAAAAGCCTATTGATAGATAATATAAGTTATTCTCATGCACGGCTGCAGTGTGAAGCACATTTTGCAATTCAATCAAGGACAGATAGAGCTGAATGTTCTTAGATCCCAGGAGTTCATTTTAATAAGCAGAATGTACCTTGTCCTAACACAGGTGACTGACTCCTCAGAAAAGATTGTATAAACAAAAACCAATCATGTAAGTCATTTTATTGGCAACAATATAAACACAGCTATATTAGATGTCACCAATAAATCAAAATTATTCTTGTCTGCAATTTTAACAAGAGGAAAGTGCAAACATGTGCCTGTGAAGCTGGAGGATATTATATAGGAAATGCACTGGATGTGTACAATATCATTTTCCTAAATTGAAACTGGAGAGTACCATATTATGATAAAATAACCCACACAAGGTATAGTTGATCATTTCTGTGGTTTCGTAACTTTATTCATTGAAACTGACAAATTCACAGAATTTACAACAGAAGTTACCCCAAAATAGAGCTAATTCCTCATCATTGAGATGTGGAGCAGAAACTTAGGAAGGTTAGATCTACTAACTAGTATGTATAAACCTACTCACTTGGGTACTCCCAAGGTCTAATTTGGTAATTGTAAGAGGATTAAAATATTTATTCTGAACACTAAGATGTAGGGATGTTATTTAAGTAATACAATCACCAATAAGACGAAATCGAAGTTTTCTTCTGAGTTATACCAATTAAAAATATGAAGAAAAGGGCCTGCCTGTGGCTCACTCGGGAGAGCGTGGTGCTGATAACACCAAGGTCACGGGTTCGGATCCTATATAGGGATGGCCGGTTAGCTCACTTGGGAGAACGTGGTGCTGACAACACCAAGTCAAGGGTTAAGATCCCCTTACTGGTCATCTTTAAAAAAAAATAAAAAATAAAAATAAATAAAAATATGAAGAAGAATTAGTGTTCTCCAGAGATTCAAGACCATTCTTCCAAAGACTACTCAGAAGAGATAATATAATGAACATTATGGACCCCATCTAATAGAAGCTCTGACTGTGTCTTATCTGGATTCAAACCCTGAGTTATCTAATTTCAGATATACACATTTTAACTTTTTTTATTTTTGTATTTTATAAAATTTTCTCAAAAATAGAAATGATATTTCCTGAGTTTATGGGGTGAAATAACTGGCAGTGCCATTTTAAATTTAAGTTATTGGCTATGATATTCAAAATAAGGTTGTAAATAGGAACCGGACATAGAGGAAAGGAAGAGGAAGGGAAAAGGGAAGGGAAGAGGGTGGGAAAAAAGGAATGGCCCAGCCCGATTCAGCAATTCATTCCTAGTTAGTCAATCCTAACTTGAAAATGAGAAGCAGCAACAAGAGCTTTGCACACAATG